TGTTGCCAGCTGGAGACAACCCTTTCACAAATCTTTCCTTCCCCGTCTCTTATTTGTGGGTATTTTACAGTGATTGTGTCCAGTGGGAGATTTGTGTGAAGGACAGGAGACAAGCATGTTGACGACGTGTGACTGGACCCGTCGGTCTATTACAAAGAGATAACACTTTTGTAAAAAAAAAAAAAAGGTTTAGTAACAAAAGATGAAATTGAGGGGCGAGTAGAATCATCTTTTAATCAAAACATAGCCATGCACATTTTACACTTTTTCATCATCATCATCTAAATCAGAGTTTCTCTGGAGTCAGTGGCAACTGGAATTTCAGTTAAAATAATGGTTTCTCCAAACCACTTACAGTGATGTTCAGACTCCAAACCCTCCATTTGAGGTACAGTGTGTATTAAAATGTGTTTTCATGTACCGATTTATTATCGTTTACTCTCATAAAGTATTCATTATTAACTAATTAATAAATAAAAAAAGCTCATGTGTTGCTTCCACATCTTTTAGGGTAACTTACTACATACACAGACTTTTGTGCTGCAACAATCCCTAACATCCCCCAAAGTATCAATATTGGTAATGGTATATATAAAAAAAATCTGGTATTGTCCATCATTACTTTAGCAATCTGGTCATTCAACCCATAACATCCATTCACAACAGAAACCTCAGAATCTTAAACTCAGGCTCTTCCAACTTAGCCTCCTGTGTTATTGTCTCAATCCCACATAATATTTGTGGTCAACCAGACCTCACCGGGCCAACCTCCTCAGTTCTGTTCAGTGTTATGATCTGCATCTCAGTAGTTCATCTGGTTTCAAGCACATTTGAAAAGCTCTTACACAAGTGTTTACCAGTCGACACCTGAACATGTTTGACAAACTCACATTCAGAGAATTGCCTTGTGTGTGTTCACATCTGCGTCTGTGACCGCCGTCACCTATTTAACACTGAATCAGCAGAGTTTCAGCATCACCACAGGGCCTTTCAGCTTCCCTCCACCTCCACAAGACGCCACTTTCTGTAACGAGCTTCGAAATGAAGTTGGCTCCAGCTGAGTTCCCATGAGATCACACACAGAGAGGGGGGTGGAGGGGGGCTCTCACATACACAGAGCTACAGTGAGTGTAGATTTCAACACCCAGCATGAATAATAGCATCATTTGTGACGTTGGCTATTCTTTTTCTTCTCTTTCTTCTCTAGATAGAGCCATTCTCCAGTTCTCCAGAGGACTCAGCACCTCACCACCGAGTCGCATTTCTTTAAGGTAAAGATATTGACCTTTACAAATAGAGGTACAGCTATATGTGTTTCCCCATTTTGAAAAGATAGATTCAAAGATTTATGAAAGAAAATATTTCAGAAGGCACAGACAGTGAATGGGTTCACGTTAGTTCATCCCATTGTTACTAAAGGATGAAAAGTCCAACAAGATAAAGAAAAAAAAAAGTTTTGGAACTCGGGCTTAAACTTCTCACAACAGAAAAAGTAATCAGATGGTTTGAAATCTGGAATACACCCAGGGTCAAAGTTTTTAAGATAGAAGCAGCAGAATCAGAAAAGCTTTATTTATTTATTCAATAAAAATCATATTTAAGGATAAAAACCAAGTACTTTGAAGGGTTTATTTTTGAGTATCTGGTGAACCTCTGTGAAAGCTCTTCTTCTAAAATCTAACAAATCTTACAACAATGAAATATATAGTTTTAGCACGGGTTCACAGTGCCCACCTTGGGATTCTTACTTACATAATCTTACTGTATATGCAACATGATGAAAATTAGATTTCAAGTCTGTAACAATTCCAGACTACCAGGTGACTCGGAGACCAAAGCAGGAAAATGAAACAACACTGACAAAAAACAGGGTTTTGTGCAGAACAACCATAAGACAGAGAACAGAAGGGAAACAAACACAGCCCACGGTTATTTTTTGTTATGTTAGTGTACATTAAAACCAAAACTCAGTCGAGCAGAAACAGCAGTGTGACACTTAAGGTTGGGGGGTCACCGAAAAACATGAAACATGAGCCCATGAAAACAGAAATGTTCAAAAAAGTTTCATGTAGTTGTCAAAGATACAGAGCTGGTGTTTCTTTTTATCCTGTTTTCTCAATTAAATCTTTCTCTGCTTTCTCGCTGTGTATGTTTTATCATTTCAAACATTCAAACCCCATTTTTATTATTAACTTTGTTTTTAATCCTGGGTTTAAATGATTGCAGTCTGAGCCATAGAAATTAGACCTTTATTTTGGTATAAAACTTTATTTTACTTTATTTTGGTTTTATTTATGTGTCCACTGTAAATACCAGAGAACAGTAGGGTATATATACAGTTACCTTCACTGTATAAATCAGGTCAGGTCAGTTTTTTTTTTTGCAAAATACTCAGGGACTTGATACTAATCCTGACCACACTCTCAGGCATACCTGGTTTCCCTGTGTCACCTTTACCACCTTGTTTTGGCCCAGCCTTAATGACACTGATAGATTTGACCTCATTTCCTCTTCAATAATGACACTTTATTATTATTGTATTTATTACATATAAAGACAGGGCTTTAATTCAGATTTTACAAACTGTCACTGTAAAAAAGAACCCAAATGTGATTTATACTCAGTCACTGTCACAGAGCACAGGTGAATGTGCAGGAAGCATGAAGCTTCATATATTCAGGCTAAGTGAGCACTTGCTTTTTGAAAGTGAAGTACTTTAGTGAGGTGCTTGCAACAATGTATTGTCCTTTTTAAACACACACACACACACACACACACACACACACACACACACACACA